GTAAAATTGAAATGATACAGAGAAGATTGGCATGGCCCTTATGCAAGGATGACAGCCAACTTCACGAAGCACTCCATAATTTTTATAGGTCAAATATATTTCAATAAAGCTGAAATTTTAAAGAAGGAAAACAGAAAAGACGTTCTTCTAACAGGAAAAAACCAAGAATCACAATTATTATTCATTACAAATGTGTCACTCTCAGAATTACCTATGTAAGAAAATGTTCTCTTTCATGCAAACAGTATGAGCCACAAATTAATATGCCCTTAATCTCTAACATCTAAGTAATTTTGAAGCCAGAAACAAGGTAAAATCTGTTCACCAGGTGTACCACCACAGTGGAATTCCTATACTAAGGAAATATTTCCATTGTAGAATTTCAAGACTCCAAAGGACAATTTGTGTTTCTATTGGGATGTTTTTATAAAATGAACAATTTGGCATATGAGACATGTAAGTTCCATGCAATTTTTGAAAATATATTTGTGGAACTAACCATCTGCATGCCTGGGGAAATACCCCTTCTGAAATAAATGGGTGAGAATGAGTATAATGGTTACATTCTAAGATTTATAAACAGACTTTCTATATCTGTTCACTTTTTCATTCAGAAGTATCAAAGTTCCCAGAGAACCTAAACACCAAATTACATTCATTGCAATAAATATATATTACATTTTATTTTATATAATCACACAGCGCAAGGAAAATATGTAGGTTGAGTTTTCATTTATGAGAGAATATGATCATATACATACCTATATAAATATAAAATCAAATGCAAAAAAATTAACATTCAAGTTCAGTTCTGTTTGTATTTGTTCTCCAACTGACTTTGCATGTGCATATGTGTGAGCACACACACACACACACACACAGACACACACACACCCCTCAATCTAAAACCTACAATTTATCAAAACCAAAAATATCTTTTCTTTCCTTCACTTCACTTTACAATTCTCTCAGGGAAATGGGTAGAGTGCTACATTTAGAGTGACCAAGTAGAATCTCTTAAGATAAAATATGAGTTGAGTTTAAATCTGTAGCTGGTGAAAATCAAGGACATCTATAAACAGATTTTTTTTTGTGCTATCCAATTTCACATGCATTCAATTCACTAGTGTTAAGAATTGGACTGTGGTGCTTACTTCAGCAACACATATGCTAAAACTGGAACAATTACAGAGATTAGCATGTCCCCTGTACAAGGGTGACATGAAAATTCGTGAAGCGTTCCATATGAAAACAAAAAAAGCATCCACTGTGATTATATGATGTTACATCTTGACCTGTGCTTTAATCCTGACTGAGCATGTCTTGATTGTATGAATTATTGATTAATTCAGGTGTTATTATTATTTAAAAATGCAACTCATTACTTAGATTTTTCCCAATCACTTATGACTTGCCGATCAGTTTCAAAGCACAGAGGACTCTTACTTCCACTGGATTACAAGTGCACTGTAAAATATAAAAAGTAAGTCTAAAAAGAAAAGTCTAAAAGATAAAAACTGTTTTCTTACCCAAGAACAAGAAGTGAAGAAACTGATGGATGTTGTTTATGGACAGTGGATGGTCTATCCAGATGACCTGCAAAGAAAGAAATGCTTCTAGATCAAAAATAGTCCTTCTAGCAACACAAGGGAAGTCAATTATTATGTAACTGCACATTTAAAATACAGAGAGCCTTTTTCAACTACCAAGACTTTCCAGGTTAGAACTGACTTTTCCATACAGTGTTATGATTCTCATAACAATGCTTTGGGGTGGAGAAAGTAGGATTGTTCCTCACTCAAGAAGGTTCTTAAACTGTTTCTAGCTTCCACATAAAGTCAAATTTCCTTCCTCCTAATTCCAGCCCTCTTCAATCACCATGGCAGCCTGCTTGACCAAAGGGACTGAGCTTTCTGATGCTATCTCGTCCAGTGACCCTGATATGACCTCTAGAGGTGATATTAAGATTTGTTTCTATGCAAACTCTCCTTCGTGTACAATTAAAAAAAAATTACATGTAATTCTTAACTTGGTTCATAGATAATGAAGTGTTGATGTTCAAGGATTTCTTCTAACTGGTGTTATGGACTTGCTTCATGTTAAGCAAGCAGTATTCCCACCTTCTCTGAGAGACACACAATCCTTGCACCATTTGGGCAGTACCAACGCTGCAGCCAAACAGTATGTTCCCAAAATAGAAATCTGTTTCTGATGTTTGGCAAACATACTCCACAGCCTTTATGAGACTTGAAGGCATCTGGATATCTGGATATATAAGTTTGGATCCAAAAAGATATCATTTTCCCAGAATCATGTAGAATGCTCTCTTATGCATGTTCTTCTCAGATTCCTCCTCCATGAGCCCCAAGCTGTTCACTGTCCACTACTCTCTCAGGGCACTGGCCACTTTCTAGGGTGCCTAATTGCTATTTGAGCTCTTGTTGGTCCCCCCCAACACTGGAGTATGAGCACAAGGCTAGAATCTGGTCTCACTCCTCCCTGTACCCAGCATCTGGCACAGAGTAGAAGTGCTAAAAGCATGCACTGAAGGAACCATGAGCCACACCACTGTTTACATCTTCTGAGTGCCAGGAAGTACTTGCCACTACCCAGACACACGCTCTTCATTGCCTGACACCCACCCTTTGCTCAACGACAGTCTCCCTTCCTGGAATGCCCTTCCCTGTGTCTTCACTGATTGAAGCCGCATCTATCTTTCAAAGACACATTCCCCAAAGCACCTTCTCCAAGAGTGATTTTCTGATCCTCTCTCCAGTACCTCTGATGGCACCTGCCCTAGTTGGCACTGTATGAAAGTCATGTGTTGCCAGTATCTCCCCTCCATGGGGGAACAGGATTAGTTCCTCTCAACAACTCATGGCTGTCTGAACCTAGCCTGTAAAACTGTGAATAATAAATCACATTCAGCTGGGTGAGGATTGTGGCAAGAGCTTGCTCTTTCTCCAGAGACCCTAGAGTTCAAGAAAAGAATGACTAAGGATATAGAAAAATATGTAGGAAAGAAAGTAGGAGAGATGACTTCATATGTGGAGCCCTCTCTTTACATAAAAGTATATTTTAAGTGAACCATTGAAAGAGGTCTTAGTGAATCCTTTAATTAAGAATCTGATAGGTGGGGCGCCTAGGTGGCTCAGTCAGTTGAGAGTCTAACTCTTGATTTCAGCTCAGATCATGATCTCAGGGTCATGGGATAGAGCCCCATGGCAGGCTCCACACTCATGGAACCTGCTTGGGATCTGCTTGGGATTCTCTCTCTCTCTCTCTCTCTCTCTCTAATAAAAATAAGATAAAACAGCCAACTGGTGAAAGAAAACAAAGAATATGATACTGGAACACTTCATAGCAGAACTTTCTAAACTGGAAGATTAACATACATAAAATTACAGAAATACCAAATTTGAGACAAGAACATGAAAGTATTACTTACAGATTATATTGAAATATTTTAGGCCATTCTTAGTCCATATTTGGTAAGGTCCATTCTACTTGACTACATAGGAAGCTACCAAGGGAGCAAGAATTGTGTTTTCAGGAATCTGAGTCCTACACTTCTAGTTTCTGGGAAAATCAGGGTGTCTACAGTGATTTCCAGTGCTTCCATTTATTTGCTCAGTTGTTCAGGTCCCAAATAGTTATCCACTATGGGCAAGGCACTGTGCCAGTTAGTGTCACTGCTACTGCTGCTGTTGCTGTTATCAGCCCTTAAAGCTAAAAGAACTACAGAAAATCACAATTATTACTATTTCAAAGAAGAGCTACATAACTGTCAAAAGAATTCTCTAAAAATTAAGTAGTTGGAATGTTGAAGAGTCTAAGAATCAAACGGGAAAATCAATGTGGTCAGACAGGCTGGGTTGTCTACCTGAAGACATTAACATTTTTATTTAATTTGTAAGATAGCTGGACACTACTGCAAATTTCTGAGAAAGTGACTACCAAGATCAAATCAACTCTTAAGTGAGATGATGCAGGGGACTCAAGCAGGCAGACTGAGGAAAGGCTGGAGTTTAGAAGGCAGTTGTGGAAGGAAGAGAAGAAGGTTGCAAAAGGGTGGATTTCAGACATACTTTAGCAGAGGCAGACTAATAAGAGAAGGGACAAAGGGTAAGCTAAGAGGAAGATGTGATACTATCTATCATAATGGGCCTGGGGGCAGTGCAGGTTGGAGTGGTTGAAGGTCACAAGGTCAGAGTTGTCTTTTACTAAAGGGAAACTGGGTTAGAGAAGAGTCTAGAGAGAAAATTCACCAGGTTCTCTTGCAGGTGTAGGCATCAATGAAACATGCAAGAAAACCCAATCTTTTTGACAAGAATGATCAATTTGACCACACAGACATGAGAGATATTTGGACAGATGACTTAGAGATCTCTTCCAGCTTGGGAGAGTCCACAATTCTACAAGACATGTCCGGAGAGAGTATTTAAAATCTGACTAATCATTGGAGTGCCCTAAGGAAGTGATTTAAGGAGAAGATAAAATCTCAAAAATATTCAACTAGAAAGATGGAGGGAGTAAGCAGTAGCTTCTTTACTCCAGACAAAAACAAGGAAGGCCAGGATCAGAAAAGGAATGAAGAGAACTAGAAACAAGCGATAAAGACATAATATATTTTGCATAACATCAAAGAACAACAATTTCAGCACTGCCAAACTCTATGCCACTTTAATCTGTTCCACTTGAGGAATAATTTGTTCTTTGTCAGTATCTTAATCATAAGAAGTTTTTGCCAGTGGTCAATGTATTAGCAATGGCATTTACAAAACCATTTCAATTAGCTTTTTTTCCTAGGAGCACCTAACCTGGGAGATCTCCCACCCAGCCCTGCACAAAGCCTATCTGCCCAGAAAGGCTTAGCTGGTCTCTGTCACGGAGGCGGGGGGGGGGGGCTTTGGACAAAGAAAATGGATTTGCATAAAGGTGGTTAGCTGAGCACAGGCCCTATGTGAGGCTATACAGTGTTGAAAAGGCCATTCTCCAACCTGGCAGTGTAATCCTAATGGAGAGCTTTTGTTCCAGAGGCTGTGGTAGGCTGCTTTATTCAGCTGACAATCCACAGTAAAAGAACGAATGAACCGCCTCCTTTTGGTAAAGCCAAGGTAGCTGGCAGCCCACAAGCCCCACAGCTTACTGAATAAGAGGCAGGACAATTGTTAGCCCCAGACCCAAAAGGTGCTCTGTAACGGAGTGCCCACTGCTAGTGTTCCTGGCTGCATGCTGGGTGTTCACCACTCAAGACAAAGTTCCCCAGGCCACCTTCACATCAGAAAGGAGCTATGGGATCCAGAAGCACCAGCAAAGTCCTTCCCTACAATCCTTCCAAAAGACATCCAAAACCTTTCGTCACATGTAGCCCCTTCGCTAGCTTTGTAGAACACTATAATCATTTCCCATTAGAATGCTGAGAAAGAGCCAGCCTTCTTGTTCCTTCTGAGATTTCCTTTTTTTTTTAAATTTTTTTTTCAACGTTTATTTATTTTTGGGACAGAGAGAGACAGAGCATGAGCGGGGGAGGGGCAGAGAGAGAGGGAGACACAGAATCGGAAACAGGCTCCAGGCTCTGAGCCATCAGCCCAGAGCCCGACGCGGGGCTCGAACCCATGGATCGCGAGATCGTGACCTGGCTGAAGTCGGACGCTTAACCGACTGCGCCACCCAGGCGCCCCGAGATTTCCTTTTTAAAAAGAAATTCAGTTTATTTCTCTTATTTTTAAGAGTGTTAAATTTACAAAATGGAACAAACTATGCAAACACAATTCTACCACCCCGGGACAAATATTGCCATTTTGTATGATTTCTTCCCAATCTTTTTTATGTAACTGTGAGAACTCTGTAAATACAGTTTTTTCCCAAGGCAAGTCTAACTGATCCCTATTTTCCAACTAAGGAACAAGCCCTTTAGAAGTTAGATGGTTTCTCCTAACTTATTTTAACCCCCTTATCTTAAGGTATTTCCCAACCTAACCTCCAGTTCTCCTCAACCTTATTCCACTCTTCCATAGACCTTAGACTGCCTTATCAAAAAAAATAGGGAAGTTGTCTCCAAGAATCTGTTGAATAATTTTTTAAGGCGGCCATTTCCATGAATGAAAACCCACATGCAACAAAAATAATTTAAGATCAATATATGAATTATGTGCCAATATCACATGAATGATCAAATATATATTTATATAAATATATAAAGTATATATAATATACATATGTAAATATGTATATTATACACACACACACACACACACACACACACACACACCATTTTGGTAAAAAGTTTCCCAATTTGTTAGCCACATGGTTCTCAAATTAGAAGAGGGGCCAAAGAAACCCTCCATTTCCCGAATGAAAGATTGCAGACCTACTCACTTAAATGATATCCCTAATTGTTGCTGACTCTTGGCTTCACCAATGCCAGAGGCCCCTCCTGCAAACCTCACTCCCAGCCCCCACTCCCGCCCAGTTCCTTTTCTTAATGCTGATGGTTAAGACACAGCCACATTAAAGTGAGGCTCTGCAAATGCCCTTACTGAAAACTACAAAAGCCTATCTGTTTGATATACTTCAAATGCTTTCTGTGATCACATATGTTGGAACTTCCTACCAAAGGTTCCAACTTGTTTGTTATGGAATATAGAGAAAGATGAAACAGCTTTCACTGAATTTCCAGATTTTTCACATTGATTGACTTTGTTTGTGAATTTCACCTCAAAGTGTAATCGTTTAGTGCAAACGTCTCAATTTCCCAAAGTCCTGCCTGTTACTTTAAAGCTTTCTCATTTCCTGAGAACAAACTGAGGGCTGGGGGGGGGGGGCG